AATTATTCATGTATATTTTTATCATTTGAAATAACAAGTTATCAAATAAATGACTTTCACATCATTGTCTCTTTTGTTAATAGGCTTTGCATTAGAGGATGGACCTTCACGTCCATTTCTTTCCGATTGACGAGTCATTTTGTGGGACTTGCATGTAGCTATGCTCGTGATTTAAATCAATAGTTCCGCCACTTTGTGGAACTTAGTTTAAGACAGATACATGATATGATGAACCTGGATATGATTACTGTGACCCCCTTTTCACTAGGAAGATAAATTGTGTTAAACAGTGATTTTTGAGATTCGGTGATTGGATCCTGGATTTATGTTTGTTTTTAAAATACAGTTTAAAATAAATTCACTCAGAATCTTAATACAAATTTACAACTTACATGTTTCGCAACTTGAATAAAACTTTTATTAGAATGTGGAATGTATTTGTTTATAAAGCAAAACTCAATATGAATTCAACGTGATTTCAACCAAATATCAACATTTGTACAACCAAAAAATTTCAACCAAAAGTCAACCTTATTTCAACCAATGTTCAACCAAAAGTCAACCTTATTTCAATCAATGTTCAACATTTTTTTCAATGTTGATATTTGACGTTGAAACAACGTTGAAGTTTCAACGTTGCCTCAACTTTCATTTGCAACCAGTTTTCAACTATAAATCAACCAAAGTTCAACCCATTTTCAACGTCTATTCAACGTTGAAAATTGACGTTGAAACAACGTTGATGTCTAAACGTTGCCTCAACTTTCATATGCAACCAAAATTCAACGTTGATTCAACGTTGAAATGCCTGCTGGGTCTAGATCCGGGCATTGGAATAACATTAAAATATGTAAAGTGTTTAGATATCGATTTGATTTAATTATTCTTTTCGAGAAATATTCAGAAATTTTAAATTAAACGTAAAATCCAGAAGCAACGCCGACGTTAAAACACACACAGAAAAAAAAAAAAACAACGGTGCAAACGTGGAACTTAAAGTTTTTGCTGATTTGTGAATATATAAAATGTCTACTTAAAGAACTGCAAGCAATACAATGAGAAAAAAAAAAATCTTAACACGAACTGCAGTTTTATACATGAAAATTTCAGAAAAAAAAAATTAATTTCGATCTACATGTACCAACCTACAAATGCTGCATAGAACAGGTGCTGTATGTTACGAGAACGCGTGATGATTATAAAATAATCAAAACTCATTTAATATTGTCAATTTTCATGTATGCAAACTTTCAAAGTATAAACATTTTATACTTATATTACTTACTATTAATTCATCGTCCATTCTTCTTTCTGTGCTTATCCCTTCTCTCGCTTTGAGGTCTGGCTCGAGTGACGTAATGTAAATAAGATGGCTTTTCAGCATGTGATGTTTGGTGGATCATAACACTTTACATTAATAGAGGTGGGTTTACGTATAAATAGAAATTTTGACACTGACTCTATTTGTTTCGGCGTATGGTTAATTATTCATTATACTAGGATATTAAAACTAGAAAAAATAACTGAACAAAAGTTTAATAAATTCATTTGTATATCGTGTACATTCAATTTAAAATTGTCCCCGAAATGCACATGTAGGATTGAAACATGTAACAGTAAATTCAATGTAATAAATTAGATTATTCATCGGTGGTATCTTATGAAAATATTTAAAAATGGCAAAGAAACATATCCTACACACGATATGACGATCAACATACGTATTCATTTATACTTTCACTCTGAAAAAAAAACCTGAACAACGGAAAGTGGAAAGGGAGAAATTGTGCGTTTTAGACGCCAAAATTTGACGTCACAATAAACACGTTTTTCTCAACGTCAACGCTTATGTCATTAAGCCCGGTTTTGTCAGAGAGCGGTCCATATATATATATATATATATATATATATATATATATATATATATATATATATATATATATATATATATATATATATATATATATATATATATATTGAAATATAAATATAAATCCACAGTGCTCGGTAAGCTTCTGAAGATTGAAAATGAAAGCGCTAAAGCTTTACTAAACGTTTCCGTGTTTCATTTTTAAAATTGTACTTATATATATATATATATATATATATATATATATATATATATATATATATATATATATATATATATATATTAAAATAAAATCCAAGATAAACAAACAAGTTCACATTTAATTATTACACTAAGCGCTTTCGCCGTGAGGCTCTTCAGATGATGAAATAGACTGCTAATTTTAAGCTATAATGTTCAATTTACATTTAGTTTAGGTTTAAATAATTTAACAATTTAAAAATTAGCAGTCTATTTCATCACAATGTACATATGTTCAATTCTCTACTTTTGGCGCCCTAATGACATTTACCTGCGCCAATATATAATGCTGCCTTTATGACGTCACAATAACGACGTCATAACAACCAAGTTGTATTGTTTTTATAAACTTTGTTACACTCTGAAGAGCCTCACGGCGAAAGCGCTTAGTGTAATAATTAAATGTGAACTTGTTTGTTTATCTTGGATTTTATTTTAATTTATAACCTACCTATACCGTGGACTTTTACTACAATTTCACTATATATATATATATATATATATATATATATATATATATATATATATATATATATATATATATATATATATATATATATATATATTGAATCTAGTGTGTGGTTGAGAATCTTACCCAACTTCTCAAAATACATGTGATTGATGTTGAAAATAAGTAAGCAGTCTGAGCTGGTAATTAAGATTTGTTTAGAAAATAAAAAAAATCACATTGTGACCCGTCCTAACAGCAAGAGCAGAATTTAGTCTCCACAACAGTAGGAAAGTCGCTTTTAAATATGAAGAGTTGAAAGATTTATCCAGATTTTTATCTATTTGTAAAATATAATGCTTTCGCCTCTGTCCGTATACCGTCTTTTGGGACCAGGAATCTAGACAACTTAGGAGAATCTCCCAAAGACATGATTAGAATTTGTTGACATTTGAATTCTCAATATTGTAACTATTTCTAAGATTTCAGTTTTTTATGAGAAGAGTTTTAAAGGCATGAGGGCAATTAAATTTCTTGGGTGGAGTACGGTTTAAAGAAGCTTAAATCTTCAGAAATGAGGTAATGGTTTATAATTCGAAATATGATTGATTATTGAAAGCCCTTCTGTTCTTAAGAGGATGTTTTCCGACTTCACTTTAAGCCTTCAATTTCAAACATTAGGCCCATATCGTGCCCGACTTAAACCAAAGACAAATGAAAATTAATTAAAAAAGCGATTAAAACAATAATACATATTCATTTTATTCAAGAACAGAAATACACTTTATTCAAGAATAGAAATATACATCTTTACATGTCTGGATTGTAATTTTTTTATTTTTAATTTGCTTTTAGGGACCAAAAACGTATTCATATAAATTATGAGCGTCATTATAGATATAAAAGTTTAATCCATTTTTTGCCTTCAATCAGGCTTTAAAATCTAACATAATCATTTCAATTTTCCTGAAAAGAAGTAAACGATGCAATTAGAAGCAACACATACAATTTACATACGCTTTTCATAAATGTTTACAATGCATACACAAAGAAAAAAAAATCTAGCATATTAAGAGATAATAAAACATTCAATATGAAATACAAAAATGATTTACACATTATACAATACATAAGCAAACGTAAAAAAAATGTACAGTAAAATGTTAAATTTGTGCTCATTGGACTCTTTTTGCAATGAAGAATTTAAAGGCTAATATTGAATTATTTTGGGCATTTGCAATGTTGTTCTTTCAATCACAGCAATCACACAAATGTAAATTTTGCACACCTTGAATGGTTTAAAACATTGTGTTTCTTAAAAGAATTGAAGATACTGCAACAATGTTTATATTATTTGTAGAAATAGTCAACCTTAATTGTTCTTTTTAGGGTCGTAACTTAAGAATTTTATCTTTATGTATTTGATTAACAGTAATTATCTTCATATCAATACGCAAGAAATTTATATGCATGTACAAAAAACAAAACAAAACAAAAAAAAAAAAAAAAAAAAAAAAAAAAAAAAAAGAAAAAGAAAAAAAGACAATATTTTTCTTTAAGTACTTATAAATTTAGAATGTTCTCCTTATATTAAAATTTGTTTAAAGGATGCGTAATTGAATAATAAAAAATTAAACATGTTAGTGAATGAACTTTCAGTATCCTCACCTCGAAATGAACATATTCTATATAAAGATTGAGAGGTATTGGGCCACAGTATTGTGGAAATAAAATTAGTATATATGAATAGTCATTAATTTTAAGTACTCTTGTAAAATGCCAGGTAAAATTGCAGCAGCTTTTGCAAAATGCAACTTTGTCAATTGCTTAAATAAACAAAATTCACTGTAAATTATTGCCATTTCAATATCAATTGTGTACAGAAATACATCACAATCTACGTCAATTAACAGCTTAAAACAGCGTTAACAACAAGTAAAGTAATAAATGTAGAATATTCGATACACGTATAACAGATATCCATAACTTACTCCACTTCAGTAGATATCTACGTCTTCAACTTAAGCTTTACCACAGAAACATTAAATGTAAGAACAGGCACAAAGCGCAAAACAATATTTTCATCATTCCTTGCAGACAATTATTCGAATAAAAATTACGTGACATTTCCAAATGTAAATCTAATGATTCCACAATTACAAAGGCTGTAAATAACTTTTTTGCATACTTTTTCTTCTCCTATACCGATGACATGTGAGTCAATCTCTATCATTAATTAAATAGATCGCTGTTACCTTGAAATTCAATCAACAATGCTTTCTTTCCATTTTTGTCCTCAACATCCAATAAGTTGGGATACGTGTTGATCAAATACTTATACATATCTACTTTTCTGCTTATACAACACAAATGTAGCACAGTACCCCGTCATTTCTAGTGCTTTAAAAATATGTCTTTCTCCAAAAGAAACATAACCAGATCAACGTTACCACTCAAGGCTGCATGATGTATTACATTCTGACCATCATTGTCAGTGACATCGAGTAAGTAAGGGTATGTGTTGACCAAGTATTTGCACATATCAATCTTACCATTATTACAACACAGATGTAGCACAGTTTTCCCGTCATTTCTAGTTCTTTTGATATCTAAGCCTTTTTCAAAGAGAAAAATAACCAGATCAACGTTACCACTCCAGGCTGCAACATGTAATACATTCTGACCAGCATTGTCAGTGACATCGAGTAAGTAAGGGTATGTGTTGACCAAGTATTTGCACATATCTATCTTACCATTAATACAACACAGATGAAGCACAGTACCCCCATCATTTCTAGTTCTTTTGATATCTAAGTCTTTCTCATAAAATAACCAGATCAACGTTACCACTCAAGGCTGCATCATGTAATACATTCTGACCATCATTGTCAGTGACATCGAGTAAGTAAGGGTATGTGTTGACCAAGTATTTGCACATATCAATCTTACCATTATTACAACACAGATGTAGAACAGTTGACCCGTCATTTCTAGTGCATTTGATATCTAAGTCTTTCTCCAAGAGAAACATAACCAGATCAACGCTACCACTGCAGGCTGCATGATGTAATACGTTCTGACCATCATTGTCAGTGACATCGAGTAAGTAAGGGTATGTGTTGACCAAGTATTTGCACATATCTATTTAACCATTATTACAACACAGATGTAGCACAGTTTTCCTGTCATTTCTAGTGCTTTTGATTTCTAAGTCTTTCTCCAAGAGAAACATAACCAAATCAACGTTACCACTTAAGGCTGCATCATGTAATACATTCTGACCAGCATTGTCAGTGACATCGAGTAAGTAAGGGTATGTGTTGACCAAGTATTTGCACATATCTATTTTACCATTATTACAACACAGATGTAGCACAGTTTTCCCGTCATTTCTAGTGCTTTTGATTTCTAAGTCTTTCTCCAAGAGAAACATAACCAAATCAACGTTACCACTCAAGGCTGCATCATGTAATACATTCTGACCAGCATTGTCAGTGACATCGAGTAAGTAAGGGTATGTGTTGACCAAGTATTTGCACATATCTATTTTACCATTATTACAACACAGATGTAGCACAGTTTTCCCGTCATTTCTAGTGCTTTTGATATCTAAGTCTTTCTCCAAGAGAAACATAACCAAATCAACGTTACCACTGCAGGCTGCATGATGTAATACGTTCTGACCATCATTGTCAGTGACATCGAGTAAGTAAGGACATGAGTTGACCAAGTATTTGCACATATCTATCTTACCATTCTTGCAACTGAGATGTAGCACCGTTTTTTCGTTATTTGTCGTGCTTTTGATATCTAAGTCTTTCTCCAAGAGGAACATGACCAGATCAACGTTACCACTCCAGGCTGCATCATGTAAGACATTCTGACCAGCATTGTCAGTGACATCGAGTAAGTAAGGGTATGTGTTGACCAAGAATTTGCACATATCTATTTTACCATTATAACAACACAGATGTAGCACAGTTTTCCCAATATTTGTTTTCTCATTGATATCTAATCTTTTCTCTAACAAATACTTCAGCAATTCAATGTTACCTCCAATTGCAGCTGTATGTAAGACACTACTGCCATTAAAATCTTTGAATTTCAGTAAATCTGAAAAACTGTCCAGGAGCATCTTACTCATCTCAAATCTGCCATTAAAACAGGCAGTGTGTAAAACAGTCTCGCCTGTCTCATGTAAAATAGTTAGCTTCTGATTTCTTAACATCTGAAACAATTCAATATTACCCCCAGCAGCAACCATTTGTAGAATAGATCCATATCTATATATGTCATGTTCTTCATTTAATAGATCAGGGTATTTACTTATTATGTACTTTGCCGTTTCAAGTTTGCCATTCTCACATGCACAATGTAGACATGATGCTCCATCATCAGTCTTAAGGTATGGATCACACTTATGGTCGATTATAAGTGCTTTAAGGGCATCTGTTGCGCCTGCATAAGCAACGAAATGAATGGTAGAGTGTCCACGGTTATTTTTTATTTTGCAGAGAGCAGGACAAATTTTCAAAATAAAAGATATCAATTCCAGTCTCTCCCATAAACAAGATTCAGCTAATATAGAAACAGATTGTTTGTTATAAATTGGGTGGCGTGACTCAGAAACTTTCAATAAATCAAGCCCTGCATTGATAAGTTGCACCACTATATCCTTGTTCCCATTTTGTATAGCGCAGAAACAGCTTTTAGTGTCAGGATAGACTCCTTCATCTAAAAGAATCTGAACAACATTTATATGATTCATCAAAGTTGCTTGATGCAGTGCGTCATACCTTTGTTTGTCATCTGTTATAATCTTCAATAGGAATTTAACCATTTCTATTTGACCTGCCTGAGCAAAATGAATCAGCAATGATGCACCGTTCTCGTCAAATGTTGTTAAAACATTTTGCTTTTGATGTACATAGTTTTTAAACTCAGAGCAAAATACTTTGGATTTCCAAAACTGTAAACTGGAAATGATATTGAATTGTTCACTATTTTTACAAACGTTGAGATTTTCCATGATTTTTTTACATATCTCTGGAAAGAAACTTACTTCTATTGTTTGTAAGTTTGCTGTCTTCTCTAAATTTCCTTCTACTGGGAGATTGATTAATAATGACATGTGGCAATATTGTATTACGAAAGAAAGATCATATTTCATAAGGGTATTCTTAATAATGTTTTGAATACAACTATGTGAAAACGTACATAATCCATTTTCTTCAACTAAAAAAGAACCCATTAATCCATCGATGCATTTAATGAACTCCGACGGTGTAGGAGAAACTCCTTTGTCAGGACATACATTCATGGCCTTTCTTTTTATTTTCGTATCGAAGTTAACATTACGTAAAGAAGACATTGAAACTCTGTTATTTTTCGTTAGAATATACACAAGAACAGAAAACTGGGGCTTGGAGTGCCAATACATATTTTCGACATACTGACTTAAACACTCGGAGGGGTTTTTAAAGAAATTTGGTCCTCTACTTTGTAATGTTTCGTTGTTTCCAAACAACTTACAAGACTGCGGAAACCCTAAGGGGGGTGCAATACTGAATGCCGAGTAAAATTTATCTGTTTGAAATGGAATTCCGACATAAAGATCATATATCTGTTTCATTTCTTTTTTTGACAACTTGTTCGCCGAATTCGAAATATCAACTAAAGCATTTTCAATGAATTCCATTTTGAATTTCAGCTGAGTTTGAATTTCTGAATACATATCATTGCGGATCGTTACAATTAAAAAGTTTCCCTTCTTGTCAATTTTATCAGACAAAATATTTTCCATAAAAATTGTTGTTGTTTCCCACTGTTCTATCTCTGAGTTCCTGAAAACAAAATCTCCGAAGAGATTGTCTACAAAATAAGCAGTATCTTTGGTTTGTTTCTGTTTTCCACACAATTCCTTTAGACCCATGACAACCTTCTCATGTTTATTATGGGACGTTTTCAGTTCTTCCAAGAGATGTTTAGCTATCGTCGTTTTACCATCTCCCGGGTTTCCTTTTATAAAAACATATTTCTTTTCGAACAAAACTTCTCTTGCTTTCTTGTAGGCCCGGGTTTTTATAAATGATTCCTTCAAAATGTCCTTCTCTAGATATTGAAAAAAAAAATTAAGTCGGATAAACTCTAATCAAATTAAAAATGATTTTTTTTTCAAGATGTCTTTCGTAATTAGATTAGGCTAATATTTCCCTAGCATTTTCTATGATTTTTTTAGTATTGTGAGAGCATTGTTTTTAAACACATTTAAATGTCATATCTTAAAGTTTCGTCAAATACTGTTTTTACTAGAACATGTACCTGTTCCATGCTAGAAGGTTATAAACATTGACTTGGGCTTCATTTCCAACTCTGGCTCAAATTAAAATTGTACTCCAAAGAGTACGTGGTCAAGTTGTCAGGTTATAAAAAAAAAATTTGGAGTACGTACTACTTAGAGTATGCACTCGAAACTGTTAAACACGCACTCAAACTTTTTTTTTCAATTATGGAAGCAGTCTTTTCAGAACTCTTCCGTAATGGCGATGCCCATATATTTATGTTGGTGGTTGATTGTGGCAGTATTCCAATAAATATAATGGTAAGTGAATACGTTTTTTCACTAAGTTATTTTTTTCTTAGATATTCTTTTGAAATTATATATAATTTTTGCAAAACATAAAGGGTTGTATTGGTTTAGTGTGTGAACAAACGGTAAGCATCAATATCGTCTTCGTATACATTATACAGCAGAATATAACAAAAAGGTAATATTGCAGAGAATGATATCTAGAGGCTCCTTTCTTCAAAAAAAAGTTTTTGAAAAGGAAGTGAAGACAAAATGATCTTAAGATGTGGAGACCAGGTAATACAGTAAAATTCGGTAAAAAACAAGTTTTACTGTAATTGCTGCATTTCATTGAGAGGAGGTGCTGTTTGGAGATTTTAAGGGTTCGGATGGAATGGGAGGCTAATCGGAGACAGGGCTGGAAGGACCTTGTACATTTTTTAAATGCGTAAAGATTTTTTCCAATAAAGAACAACTGTTATCAAAATGATCTGATGATAAGTGGAATCGTTTTAATTCCTAAGTAAATAGCCTATGTAAGGGGTTGGGTAAATTAGAATAAGATTTTTTTGTATCAGAAAATAATTTACCAAAATATTCAAATCATCGTGTATACAAAATGCACTTTTCACATGTTCTATTCAATTTATATGTATATCTTTGTGCACCGGAAAATGTAATTTAATGTTTGATGCCCTTTCTGAAATACTGTAGCTGATTGATGCATGTATAGAAAATAACTTTTTTTAAGATAATTAAAAAGAGGAAAAACGAAACCGTAATTTTATGTGTAAGGCTTTTTTTGTAGACAATTCATTAACAGCAAAAGATCTCCTGAGGAGTGCAGAAAAAAAAAAATGCTAAACGTAGGAAAAAGTATATTCATTCCATACCTACATGTATTTTAAACCCAAGAATGTCAGATTCTAAAAGAATGTTAAAGTCTTTTCAGAGTAAGAGTTTTAGTGAAAAAAGAATATCACTGAAAGACTACTGAAATGTGGAAATTTCGATGATATGGAAATGCTGACATAGTTGTTGAATGACTAATACATGTAGTTGTCAAAAATTACCAATCAAGTTAAAGAGTAATTATAAAAACCACTTTTTTGTTTGTTTTTACCCGCAACATCTCTAAATCAGGAAATTGTCAAGCATTTAATCTGACGACATAATCATTTTTATAGAATAAATATGTTTTTGAATCAAGTACACATTTCACATAACATATCACCATGGGAATATAGAATGTTGTCAAATAGTATATACCTTATTACTTTATAACAATTTTTTTAGCTTCAAAAGCCAAGGAGAATTACATTTTTAAAAAGAATGCAGGAAGACTCGTAGTGGCCGAAAGGAGGTGGAATTGTCAAAGACAGAAGAGGTCCTTTTTCAAAGAGAGGATGGAAGTCTTGGCATTTTTGGCCTAGAAGGAGGCTTTGACAGTAATGGTAAGGATGATAAGAGCTACATGTATTAGTTTTTTCCCGCGTTTCGTAGAATAGAGGGAAAACATTGCATGATTTGAATGTATTTTATTGGAATTGCTTGTCAATGATAGGCATGGCCAAAGGAAGGCCAATGAGAAGGCCGTATTCAGTAAGGTGTTTGGGTCATTCTAAGCCAGTGCTCTTCAGAACCACACGTGTTTATATATATACCCGCAACATTTCTAAATCAGGAAATTATATATATACCCGCAACAGAACCACACGTGTTTATATATATACCCGCAACATTTCTAAATCTATATAATCTAAATTTTCTAAATCTATATATATATATATATATATATATATATATATATATATATATATATATATATATATATATATATATATATATGATATACATCATGTATAAATAAATATACCAGTAATAAAGGTAACATATTTTAATTTTGCTTCACCGTACATGTACATATTGTATAATGTTTATGCATTTCAAGTACTGCACACCGAATGCACGTCCGGCATTCATCCTTGAGACATTATTTACATAGCGGCGGACTCAGGTTTTCCATAGTTACCAGTCTATGGTTTTTTCCTGGGCGGTTTTTAATGTCTGCGATAGGGGTGTAATAAATAACATTAACATAGTTTACAAATACATTGCAGTACAATGTAATGTATGTCAGATAGTTATGTATCGTTATCAAAATAAACGCCAGCTGCTCCCACTAAGCTAGCATATGCGTTGTATTATTTGAGGTGTAGTCTGTCAAATAATGAGTGGAGATTATACGTAGTATGTAAATATCTTATTAAACAATATAGTTAATTTAATTGATCACTGCTAGACATGAATACTCTTGTGTTTATATCAGTCATAGTTTAAACTAACAGAGACTCTAAGAAAAGTTAAAATGGCGGAGGTGAATAATCTTGATAAATGCTCAACAGAAGCAATGAAAAAAAAATGGCAAAATATACAACACATATTTTTCTTAATAACTATTATCTTAAGCTTAAAAAATGTCATCAGGTTTTTAATTAGAAATAGATGCATTGATTATGATTAAAATTGAATGATATTCAAGTATATCATTGTTTGAATCTGAGTCGGCAAATAATGATTTTCGCCCTATATTTCAACAGCAGCTCACGATCAATCATCTTCAAAGACTAAATTCAACAGAAAAAAAAAACAAAGATGAGATAAAGTTGTTGAACCACGGTTACACAATTTAGTAT